ATGTGGGTGCAAAGTATTTTATGAGTAAATTTGATGCCTATTAAAGCTGCACTAATTCTGTTCATTTTTACGGACTCACGAAGATATAAGAACAGGAGAAAGTTACTTGAGGAAAATTTTAAATGTCATGAGTTGCCTCGAGCAACAGCTTGCTTTATGTCAAATGATATTGGATAAAGTCAATCTTTATTTTGATGGGATGAACTATTAAATACGAGGCTTGCTTAATTTAATGACATACAGCAAATGAAAAGAGCTACAGATAGTAATACATTTAAAAAAAAAACCATTTGAATTATTTTCTTAGCTTTATAATTTGTGTCGGTTCAAAATGTTGTTTAAAAAGTTCAAAATGAAGAAAGCAAAGAAAAATTATAGACATATGAAGAAAAAGAAAGGGGGAGGGAAATAATAAGTAAAAAAAATAACAAACAACAGTTTAAAAAAAAAAGGGATGAAATTTTATTTAAAAAACCCGGAAAAAAAGATATTTTGCGGATATAATCGTGTGGGCTGATGAAATGATTATATATTTTTTTTCCGGTTTTTTTAAAATAAAATTTAATCCTTTTTTTTTTTTAACTGTTGTTTCTTATTTTTTTACTTATTATTCCCCCCCCCTTTTTTTTTCTCTCCATATGTCCATAATTTTTCTTTGCTTTTTTCATTTTGAACTTATTAATGAGTTCTGTATACTTGCAGCTTAAGCGCAAATAAATGAAACTTATTGTTTTTCTTAACTTTCTTCGTGTTTTCTTGTATTTAATAATATATATATATAAAAATGAAGGCCTGTCTGTGGATTTNTATACATATATATACATGTGTGAGTGTGTTACGGTCAATGTGAACAGTCGGTAATTATTAATAATAGCTGGTCAATATTAATAATAACCAAATAAGCTGGTTAAAGTGAATAATTAAAGCGAATTTATCACATTAACCAATTGTTAGGTTGTTGTTAATGATAAGCAGTGAAGCCATGTCAGTCTTTCACGTTTTTATTGGGGATATTCCCGTATCGTGATCTGCCACACCAACTACGATCGTCAAGGTGCTAAATTGATTTTAAACTAGAAAAATAAAACAAAAATGTAGATTTTTGGCTACGAGTTATACCTTTCCAGTTGGTCCCTTTCTGTAATGTTTTTGCTGTTGTTGTTTTAAGTTTCTTGCGGGCCGCTGCCTGGAAGTTGCCAAGACTTGGCGATTATTCTTTCACAGATCACGACATGGAAATCTCCCCCTTTTTATTTCTCACTTTCACCAAAAGAAGTGGGTTATTATTAATTTTTATCGGTTATTATTAATGTTGACCGGTTAGTATTAATAATAACCGGATTTATCACTTAAACCGTAACTCATACGAAAAGGCATACCCGTGTCCCAATGCTATATAAACCGTTTAAACACGTTGACCAAACTTCATTGGTTATTATTAATAATAACAAATTAAAATGAAATATGTGCGATATTTCTCACTTGGAAGAAACGAAGAGGTTATTATTAACATTAACCGGTTAGTATTGATAATAACCTCATTTATTACTTTAACCGTAACATATACATAGCATATTTTTCAAATTGTTGTTACTCAAAGGTCATGCCAATAGCAATCACAACACACATTTCGCATTTGCATAAATACATAATACGAGTTCTGAAAGCCTCTCAAAATTAATAATTTATAAACATACAATTTTCCTGCGAAACACTTGAGATTGAAAACGTTGCTACCTTAAGCTGTACTACACGTAATAAAAATATTGCCGCGTTTATTCATAACCTTACTACTCGGACTGCAAAAGATGAAAAATCTATCTATTTAAAAATAGAAAAGAAACCCAATGAGTGATAAGCAGAAAAATAGATGAGCCGGAAAAGAACAAAAATTTATCTCAGAACAGTTGTGACCGACAACAAAAACACTATTTTTGTATCGAATCGCTGAGCAACTCAACTAGAAATATTCAAGCTAATGTTTAAAAGAATCTAAGAGAATCATTTTCGTAGTTATTAACTGGCATTTAAAAACATATTTTGCTGAAAAAGTGCATTCTAATATTTTATATATTGCTAACATATTCCTTAAAAAAAATTTATATTTTGGGAATTGAGTAAGCGTTTAAGTTATTAATAAAGTGATTCAATAAGAGATTCAACTAGGTTTTCAGTTTGTCATTCCATGATTCCATTTGGGAATTAGTTAATGATTCTGTTAAGGATTTAGTAAGGTACAAAACGGAAATGGCTAGTGATATCGTGATTCAACTTAGTGATTAGCGGAATGGCTTTTTAAATTAGAAGCTACATCTAATAAGTAATTTAGATAAGGATTTAAATGATTCAGTGTGTGATTTAGTTAGTCAGTTAATGCTTCAGGCGCCACAGCTCAAAGTTTCATTAAAATACGTAAATAGGATTCAATCCACACCATAGCTTTATTCTACGCAAACAAGACTCTTCTATTTTTTACGTTAAGACATTAAGTAATTAAATTTAAATACGTTCTTGAAGTATATACAGAATTATTATTATTTTCATTTTTATAATTTACTAAAATAAAGAGTAATAATTTTATTTTATTTATTTATTTTTTTTTTTTTTTTACAAAATTATATGTGGAATAATTTTTAAAAGAAAGTGTGCACGAATAAATCAAAATCACAAAATGATTAATAATATGTAATCAGAAATAAAAGTAACAAATAAATAACTGTATATAGCAATAATAAATAAAATAATAATAATTATAATAAATTAAAAAAAATAATTATAATAAATGAAAACCTAGGAGGAAGAACGGTTTATGTCCATTTTTCACAAAAATGAAGATTTAATCGCCACCTGTTGTATTTAGGGGAATATTTAGTTTTGATAAATCAATAACGTGGAGAAATCGGTTCTAGCCGAGAGTTATTTCACAGTGAAAATAGGATGTATTGTGGAAAAAGGTTTCAGTACACGCATAGACAATAGAAGAACGAAGAAAAATATAGTGACGAAGAAGAAGAGAATACTACTGAGAAAGTGTTGATGGTGAAGGAATTTTAAGGGTAAAACGGTTCTTGTCCAACCTAAATTTAAATTTTTTTTTTTTTTTTTTTCCTTGGTTGAAAATTTTAAAGGACATGATTGTGACATTCGTGTTTATGTTTACTTTTTACGATTTCAATCGAATACTTACGCCTGTAAATTCTAAAACCTTGAAATTCGTTTTCCTTGAAATCAGGACATTAACTGTTTTGTTTTCCAAAACAGTTAATGTCCTGATGTCTATCAAACTTATATATATATAAAGATTATATATATATATATATATACAGTGAAACCTCCTGTTATGGACACTCCTGCAAAACGGACGCCTCTCAATACGGACATATTTTTAATTCCCTGGGAATCTTCTATGAATAAACCATTACGTACATTCTCCGCAAAGCGGACACTCCCGTAACCGGACGCGGACAGTCATTTTGGTCCTGAAACGTTGTTTTTTATCTCNGTCAGTTATGACACTTCAAGACACCCAATGACACTGAGTGGTAGTGCTGCTTTGCTCTCTCGTGCCACTGGTCCTGGGTTTGTAGTATTATTCTCAATCGATAATGAATCGATTAAGCAAGATGGTTATAAATCATTTCTTGTATGTTGCATGGCAACAGTCTGGATGAAAAATAGAACAAATATGGTGAATAAATATTTGCTAACTTTCTGAATAAGTCTCTCTTGTATTAAAGTGATAAAACAACTCTACAATGATGACCTGTGGACGTGATAAGAACATGCCAATATCGATGGTTGATCCACATTAAGCAGTTGATTTGCTTAAAAATATACTGCTTCAAAGAAAAAAAAATCCGGTGAAGTAATTAAAGTCTCCCGGTCAAAAAACAATAATGAAGAAAGAAAAAATAATGAGCGAAATGCTATAAACAACAACAAAAAGAAAAAAAAGAGCGAATGCTATTAACAAAAAAATTATGAGAAATTTTTTTTTTTTTATAATAGCGAAAAGCTATAAAAAGAAAAAAATAGCGAGCGAAATGCTATGAAGGGAAAAATATATATATATATATATAGTGAGCAAAAAAATTAACGGACCACCCTAAATAATTTTTGATCTAATACTCGATCTTTATCGTTCGAGGCATGACTTCAAATATGTTAATTAATTAGTGGAGAGGATATTTTAAATTACGAAATAAGACACAAAAAATTACAAAATACTGAATAAACATACCATTTTTTATATTTTTTTACGGCTTTGGAATTCTGACCCTCAAATTATAGAGAATAGCCGCAATCTGGGAAATATGGTCTCAATAGTTTGGTGAGGCAGGCGATCCAAAGTTTAGATCCTTATTCTTAATTTTACTTCTTATATTTTGAGTTAAATATATGATTTTTTTCAAAATTCTAATTTTTTCGGAACTATTCAAACGACTTCGCTTAAATTTTGTACTCGGCCATTTAAAAATTGTATTCTTTTAAATTATGGAGAAAAAAATATATGCTTACAATTTAACATTTTTTCGACTATTATTAAATAAAATAATAAATATTTACTAAAAGATGTATTTTGCATAGAATTATCCTTGGATAAACGAATTTTATGATTGTGTGCAAAGAATTTTCAATTCGCTTAAAAAGTTCGTGAGAGGGGGAGAAATACGCAAAAATTAAAATTTCAGCAATAAGTGGTCCAAACCTTGGATTGCTCTCCTAACCAAACGATTGGAACCATAATTCCCAGACTGAGACTACCCCCTATATTTTTAGGTTCAGAAATCCGAATCGGAACAAAAAATAGGTAAGTTTAATCAGAGAAAGTGTGTTTTTGTGTCTGATCTCGTAACTTAAAATATCGTCTGCACTAATTCTTTAACATCAAAATATATGTCACCCCCTCGAAGTATCGAAATTGAGTTTCAGAACGCGAAGATCAGAGCATTAAATCAAAAGTTATTCAGGGTGGTCTGTTTTTTTTTTATTCTGCATACTGTACCTGTCCACAACCTTCCTTTGGTGTCACATTTACCATCGTTGAATCTATATTTCGGATTGTCATGGCTGAGTTGAGTTAATACTTCTGACTCCCCTGTACCGAAGTTGAGTTTTCTCACCTCTTGAGTCAGGGTGATCAACAAGTTGGAAGGATCAGACCGAAAGGGAATCACAAAAGTAACAATGCCATCTGAAAATTAAAAATTCTCTCCATTAAATAATTTTACATACTTCGGAACATGTTTACATTTATCAGCCGCATTTTATCATGACCCTCCCCAATGTCTCTTCCCCTTTTTAACATTGAATACGGGATTCGTACGGTCCATAAAGACTTTAGGACGAAATAACAATATCGTAATCAAAAAGTAACGCATTTTTATTTTGATAACCGCTCACTTCAAAATGAAAGATACAAAACCGGAATTTTTGCAAACTTGATTAATTTTATATTTAGATTATTAAAATATATTTATTTGGAAACATTAAAGTGTGGTTTTGAATTCGAATTTATTAAAATATTACTAAATTTCTTACTTTTGCAACCATTTTTATGGACTGATCGACCCCGTTCAACAATTAGACAAATATTGTTTGTCACCAGCTATGTGTCAAAAATATAAAAATATTGGAATAAATATTGTGACATCATTTATTAGTTCATTAGAATTAGACTTCTGTCACAAATTCTAAACTAAAAATAAATAACACTAGACAAAACTCTTGGTTTCGATTATACACAACTTAAATTCTGATTTCTTGTGTAACGGTTCAAATTGCAATTTAAAAAGTACCTAACCCCAAAATAAAAACAGCCCGGTATTCTAATCTCTAAGAATTTTAAACTGTTACTCGGTTGTTTGATTATTTTTATTCTCCCTCCTCCAAAAATATTTTTTCGACAGGATATTAAAAAAAATGATATTTTTTCTTCTTTCTAATTTAGATCTTAATCGATTTCCTCACTATATTCTCTACCTACCTACTCAATAATTTTAAAATTGAATTATTAAGTAAAAATTATCAAGCAGTTAACGTTTTTAAAATGTATTATTTAGACCTAATATTTTGCACAGTAAAAAAAAGAAAGAAAATAAGACTATTAATGTAATGTATTATAAGTATTCATTTGCTTTGAATTTAAATTTTCACCCAAATGGTTACCAGTATCCAAGAAATTAGGTTTTTTTAACTTTCCTGATGAAGCTTCTAAATGGAGGGAAAAAATGTTTACCTTCTATTTAAATTACTAATAAACGTCATAGCAGCTCTGTAATTTAACAAAAGATTCTCTACCTTGTTTTATTATTGAAAAAATTTAGTCCGTGCTACTTGCTGGTTTTGAAACTATTATTTTGTATAAAAATAAAATAAAAATTTTGATTTACCTGCTTTGACGATATTTACTAATAATAATTAGCGAACACTGGGAATAAGTCATAGTTGTCTAAAAAATATTAACACTGGAAATAAATAACTTTTAAAAAAATGAGTTATCTTTAAAAAAAGAAAAGAAAGGAAAAAACACTGATTTAATTAGCATGATGTTTCTTTTGAAAAAAAACTTCATACCAAAATTTTTGAACTTCAGTAGCGCCATCTACCATTATTAGAGGAAGTTATTTCAAAATCAATTTTTAAAAACCCATGATAAATTTCAATTATTTTAGTTTCAATCAATAATTAAGCTATTCTTACATTAAATGAAGAATTTAACTATTCACAATGAAAATATTATAATCTTTTTATGTAAATAAAAGAAATTATTTTTTTAAGAGACTTAGATTTGTAAGAAAAATTTGAAAGCAAAAACCTTGCGGTCTTCTTACCTAGATCAACGCTTTCAGTTATGCCAGTGACAGGGTCCAGTCTGCAGACCTCTCCCACAAAAGCATCCACGTGATACAAACGTTGTGAGTTCACATCCCAATGAGGGCCTTCACCCAGATCTGATAGTCTATCAGAAACTTTAGTAACACTCATTACTTCTAATAATTCGAACAACGAGATTAAAACGAAACTCGCCGCCTCCAACCACTGCAGGATAAGTAATAGTCGAATATCGTTCCATGAATAATCCCTAACGGTAGGGATAAATATAAAAGAAAAAGGAAATTGTGAGGATCGATATCAACAAACTCGTTTCGGAGAAGAGAGCCTTATCAGGAACACAATAAGGTTTATTTTATCTTTCCGAAGCATCGCAAACATTAAAAATAAATATTTTAATGAGGATTCAGGGGTGATTATGCAGCACGAAAGTGAAAAACCCTGAAAATTTTATGAACACAAACTAGACAACAAGATATCAATTTATATACTATTTATATTTAATATAATTTGTTGGCCGAAGATTTATAATTAAATTTCCAACTAATAAAGAAAATCACACTTTTATAGTAACTAATTTAAGAAAAAAATTTTGTTACAAAAATCGCTATATTAGACTTCAAGAAAGCGAAAACACAAATCGCGATATTGGGTTTTAAAATCGTGTGATTATGAATCGCGATATTGGATTTATGAACGCGATAATACATATAGCAATATAGGATTTTTGAATAGCTTAAATACGAATCGCGATGCATGATTTTTGGATCCCGTGAATACGAATAGCGACTTTGGATTTAAAATTTGCGTGAATACGAATGGCGATATTGATTTCAAAAACGTGTAAATACAAATTGCGATTTTGAATTTTTAAATCACGTGAATACGAATCGAGATATACGATTTTTCAATCGCCCGACTGCAATTCACAGTGAGCTTTTAAATCAGGTAAATATTAAAATCGGGTGTGAATCGCGATATTAGCCGATTCCGGCGTAGTTTCAAATACAACCCCCCCCCCCCCCNCCCCCCCCCCCCCGAAAAAAATGTCAAAAGTGCGAAAGAGTCATGTGTAATGAAAACGTCTCATTAACACGATTTAGCGAAGGCTTCCAAATTTAAATTTCAGATTGTAAAACTTAATTCTTACTTTAAATTTTAGATTACAGTAAAAATTAAGTTGGATAAGTTTTGATTCACGGAAGTCCGCGAATCAATGGTATTGGGATACGAGAAATTCCGCGCAAAAAAAAAAAAAAAANCGCTCTGGAGAGATGATACGAAAAACCCGAATTCCGGGGTACAATCAGGGCCGTTTTATCCATTAGGCACTGCCTAGGGGCTCCGCCACGTTCAGGGGCCCTGTGCTACAGAGAAAAAAAATTGACAATGTTTCTTAAACAGTAAAAATTTAATTCGAAATTTCAATGACGATTGTCTTGCTCTATACATTACATCGACGCCATTTTAGTACATTTCTGAACGCATTCCAAATTATATATTAATATTATGGTAGTTAGTTCATATATAACGCAGTAATATAATCGCAAGCAATTTTATCGTGGTAGTTTTAACGCCGACTAATCAGATGACTAAACAGCAAGAGCAGCTTTTTTAACACAACACGCTTGAAAAACGCGCAAAATTCTACGTTGTGAATGCACACTTACTGTTCTGGTACCTACCATAGGTAGTACTACTCGCTGCCAACACTCGATAGAATAATCTGATCTTCACGTTTTAGGACTCAAACTTAGTGGTTCGAAAGTGTGGAGTAACCTCAGATATGCTAATTAATTACTGCAGACGATATTTTAAGTTATGAAATCAGACACAAACACATCGTTTCTCTGAATAAATCAACGGAACCATAAAGCTTGAACCTCTTTTTTCAACGGATGTGAGCGAAATCAGACGAATAGTTCCTGAGAAATCGAATTTTAAAAAAAAATCGTATTTTTAAAATTTGATATCCTCAGTGGTGGTCATGGGTTAAAGTCCCTTTGCCGTCGGGCTAACCGTGGGAGGTTTTCCTCTCCATGTACCACAAATGAGGGTTAGTTACATCAAAAGGTCCTCCAGGAAGGCAAAATTTCACCCAATACTTGATCTAGGAGTTCCTTTGTCTTCCGGATTGGATTCAAAATGATAAGGCTACTGAGTTGAACATTGGTAGTCGTAAACTCGAAAATTAGGTCGCCTGCTCACCGACGGTTATAACATTATTTCCTCGTGATTCTTATACCTTTTTCTGCACGTTTTAGCAATTTCAAGTCTAATAGATTTAAAGTAGAAAAGCAAAATGTAACGTTAAGTTGAACACACAGAGTAGCAGTATTGAGATCTCTTACGATTTTTCTTAACAGATCGATACAATTTGCCATGTTTATTATCCAATTTATAAGTTACGTTTGATTTTTGTAATTAATATTAAAAAGTTAATAAACGAGCTTAATTTGCTGTTTAAATATAACTTTTACGTTTTGTGCATGTCCTGTTATGTAAAAATAATCAACCAGAATAATAAAAATATATGCTGGTTGCTAATTTACATTTTAATCTATTTAATTTCAAAATGTTCCTTGTTGTTGTTTCAAAGAGCTTAGGTTGTGCCACTTGAGGAAGATCTGTTCTCTATAATCAAAAGGCACGAAGGACACGGAACATTTTGAAAATATTTTTATTTCATTTAACCGTCGTTGAACAGCCGACCCAACTTTCGGGTTTACGACTATTAATGTTCAACTCCGTATCCTTGTCATTTTGTACCCAATCCAGAAGACAAGGGAACTCCTGGATCAAGTATTGGGAGAAATTTTGCTTTCGAGAAGGACTTTTTGATGAGCTAACCCGCATTTGCTTTACATGGAGAGGAAAACCACGAAAACGTCACACGGTTAACTTGTCAGTTAGGGGACTCTAACCCACGATCGGTCTACCACTGAGGATATTTTACATCAGCACAGTGGTCGGGGCAGGCAGAATTCGTATCGACCAGAAATTGCTGGGGTTCGAACCTGGTTCAAATCATTAAAAGGCAAACGCTCTATCCCCGGAGTCATCACGGCTCTTCAATACATATGGCACATAAAATAGACTAAAAAAAAATCTCTGCATTAATTTAGGGATACACAATATGCGGCTGCCGAATGTTGAAGTGCCGCTCGCAAAAACTTAAAACACAAAAAATTTAAAATAAATAATAAAATAACGTCAGAACTATTAAATCATTTTTATTGTAAATGTTTCTCGATAGCTTTTTCGTGAGTTAATGCTATGGAATTTCGCATGGTTTTAAGAAACCCCAATATTTTTAATAAGATATTGCGACACAGGATTTTCAAATTTAAGTAATCATTTTTTTCTCTTAATTTTTTCGGATTTCATCATAAATGCAAGCGACGTTTCGATCGTTTTTTCGGCAGTTATAACTACCAATTTCCATGTGGTTTCTAAAATCCCGATATTCTGATTGAATTATGAAAGCATTTTTTCTTTAAATACCATGCTATAATTATATCAATGTTTATCACGTTCTGTTAATTTCGATATGACTTTTAAGAAGACATATTTATAACTAGTAAGTGTATGCATTCTTTTTTACATTAACTTTATTTATATTTTAATTCACTTTTTTCTTAAATTTGATTCTGTTAGTAAACGTTACTTATTAAACTCCATAAAGAAATGGAAATAAAAAAAAAAAAAAAAAAAAAAAAACTAAATTCAAGTTTAAAACTTTTATTTGCAATCAAAAAAGGACAAAAGAAAATGAATTTATAAGTTATACAAACACAGAAATTATTTTGAAAACTACTGTAGAAAACAAAATATACAATTCAATTATAAGTAAATCTCTTAATAACCAGGTGGTAGCCATTCGTCTGAGTCACTGCTTGCATAAAAACTAAAAAAGAAATATAGCAAATTAATAATGAATTACAAAATAATAATTTGAAGTGACATAATTAAAATACAATAGAAACCTTGATTATCCCTAGAATCAACAAAAAGTACAACTTAAAAGTTACTGAATGAGGAGTTGAATAACACAAGAGCCAGAATTGATTATGTTGCATCAAATAAAAACAGTGCTACATGATTATACAGAGTGGGAGGGTTCCCACTCTTTAAACAAAGCAAAAATTAAGCACTTTTGAGGACTTTCTTTTGAAAAAAATTAAGGACTTTATGTGTGTTTAACAACGAATATACATATACCACTAGTAACAGTGCCAATTATTTACCTTTCTTTAAAAAAATCAATCAATGAAAAAAAATAATAATAAACAATTTTATTATAATGTAAGCACTGATACAATTGTATTAAAAGGGCTCGCCAAAGTAATACCAGGCAATTTTTTGAAGCCTGGGTCAGTTTTTTAAAAAAAAATTTCAGACTGTTAAGGGTTAACGACATCTGTAAAACTAATCCATACTCCATATTTAATGATTTCATTGAATTGTAAAATTAATTGTAAAAATTAAGAATAGCAATAATTTTTATGTATATTAAAAAAAAAGAAAAAAAAATTGGAAAAATCATTGAAAAAATTACTAGACCTGCATCACATATTCAGCTGCGAGACTATCTTTTTAAATATTCAGTTACACTGAAAAAATTCTTTTTCTATTAAGAAAATGTTTTATTTATAAAGGTATATATTAAAAGAATCAATACTAGAAAGTTGAATTGGAGTTATGCATGAGAATAGTTTTCTTAGCTATGTCATATTAAATTAAGTTTCAAGTAAAAACAGGATATACTAATATATAAGCACCTTAAATCATTCTACTATTTTTCATTATGCTTAATATATATTTTTATATTCTTTGCAATAAATATTTTTATGAAAATTTTTATAAAATAAAAATACAATTATTTTGAGAAGATTTATAATTTTCAAACCACTGTTCTTTATTAGTTCTCGGTGAAACATAAATAAAAGGGTCTACAATGATTTTTCAAAGGTATCAACACATTCCAACCCTATTATTTATCTTTTCATCATTTATAGATATTTACTTGTAATACATTTCTTAACATCCTCTATCATTCTTAATATTGCTCTGTACTATTATGATTTGATATGTTATTTTTATCAAAAATTAACAGTTTAAACCTGAAAGTAGTATTCTTTTATTATAAAACAATCCCATAATATCACTTTATCTGGTAACGTTTTGTAAAAAAATAATGAAAATTTTTATGACAAACATATTGAAAATGGTATAAAACTTAACAATTTTGAAACTATTACAAAACAGCAAAAGCGTTACTTTCATGATGAGTTTTACACAAAATTCTTTCCAGCCAAACCTGTTATTAGGAACTAACTTTACATAATGTTACTAAACAATGTCGTGAAAAACATGAACTAATTTTAAAATAACCAAAAATTAAATAATAAAAAAAAAAACAGTAAATTAAGTTGTAATGTTAACGGAATAAAATGATCATTAAAATCTAAGGATGTTTTAATTGAGTAGATTAAAATTTTTATGCAACAATCTAAAACTTGAGAGAAAAAATTTACAATGCAACAAAACAAATTATAAATAGTTACCAAATATTTAACTTTCTTGTTAGAAGCAAATCATTCATTCTTATTTAGGAAAAATAATTTAAAGTATTTTTGAAAAAAAATTTGGTTTTCATTCAGTTCCTTATTACACATTGAAATATTATCATCATCATCATATCTGGCTAGACAGCCCAGGGTGGGCCTGTGCCTTCCTTTGAATTCGAATCCACTTCTCTCTACTTTTGACACTTGTTTGTCAGTTTTTCTCCTTTAGAGTAAGGAAATCAGTCTCAACTAAATCCAGCCATCTCAGCCTCCGAGTCATCATTCCTTCTGAAAATGTGAGCTGCCCAGTTCATTCGATTTATTTTAATGAATTTCACAATATCTGGCTCTCTGTAGATTTTATACAGTTCAGTATTATATCGTCTTCTCCAGGAATTATTTATTTTTAGCCCACCAAGGATGGCCCTCAAAACTTTTCTCTCAAAAATGGCAATTTTATTTTCACCAGCTTGAGTTAGGTTCCAGGTCTCAGAGCCATAGGTAAGTATTGGCCTAACTAATGTTTTATAGAGTAAAAGTTTTGTATTTTTTAATAAAAGAGATGATTTGAAAAAACGTTTTAAACCATAAAAAGTTTTATTTGAGCAAATTAGACGACTCCGAATCTCATTGTCTATGTTATTGTCGGCAGTAACTATTGAACCAAGGTAAGTAAAATTCTGAACAGTCTGAAACCTGTGGGAACCAATCTCCAGATAGGATTCACTAGGATTTAATTTAGCAAGTACAGGCATGTATTTGGTCTTATCGGTATTGATGATTAGTACCATATCCCTAGCAGCAAGCTCCAAAGAAAGGAAAGCTTCTTTTAATGCAGGAACAGTTCTTGCAATGATGTCTAAATCATCCGCATACGCCAATATTTGGATAGATTTTGAAAATATGTTGCCTCTGATATTGATTTCAGCATCTCTTATAACTTTCTCTAGAGCAACATTAAAAAGAAGACAGAATAAGGAGTCCCCCTGTCTGACTCCATTATTTACTTTAATTTCTTCAGATAAAGATCCCAAAAGTTTGACTCTGCATACGGTTTTTGACATGCTTGCTTCTACAAGTCTAATTAGTTTTGGTGGTACTTGAAACTCAACCAGGGCTTCATACAAGCGATTTCTATTAATACTGTCAAAGGCTTCTTTGAAATCAATAAAGAGATGATGTGTGGGAATACCAAATTCCCTGGTCATCTCTAAAATTTGTCTAAGTGCAAATATTTGATCTTCAGTTGATTTTCCCTTGCGAAAACCACATTGGTAGTTTCCAATGTGAGGGTCTATATATTGTATAAGTCTCTGAAATAAAATGTTTGACAAGATTTTGTAGGTAGTAGATAGCAAACTTATACCTCTGTAGTTAGAACAAACCATGGTATCACCTTTTTTATATATTGGGCAAATAATGGCAGTGTTCCAGTCAGAAGGTAAAATTTCAGCATTCCAAATATCAGTAATAAGATTATAAATTAGTTTTAGAAATACTGGACCATGACATTTTAACAGCTGAGCTGCTATCCTGTCGTGCTCAGTTGCTTTGTTGTTTTTTTAACTTTTTTATAGAAATATCAACCTCGCCCAGTTCAGGTGGAGGTATACCTTCATTATTCTGATTTTCAAAAACGTTCCCAGAGCAATAGGATTGATCATGTTTACTGAACATTTCTTGCAAATGTTCACTCCATCTGCTGAGTACAGCCTGTTTGTCTGTCAGAATCAAACCATCTTTACTTTTGCAGAGGTTAGATGTTTGTTTTAAGTCCATTCGACTTCTATTAATTCGTTTGTAGAAAGCTCGGCTTTCATTTATTGTCTTCAGGAACTCAATATCTCTTAGGTTTTCCTCTTCAAAAGCTTGTGCATAATATGTATAATATATTGAAATGTGTATAATATATTGAAATATTATACACATTTATTTAATTCAACATTTTAGGAAATAGTTTTCGTGATTGAATATAGTTTAAACATTTTTTCTGATACTTCTTTTTTTAGGGTTTTACTTAATTCCTATAAACAGATGCGTTACCAGTAGAATTGAATTTCTTGAATTCTGTCAACTTTGAAGGTCAGTGTGGGTCTTCTACTTAGGTAACTTAAAACTGCCCCCTCCAAAAAAGCACTATCTCTTCCATGTGCAGTATCCCCCTAGACTACACTCTATCATTTTCTTTTAGAATGCTTCTTTCTCTCCTCATAGAGGAAGGAGCAGTCTAGGCAAAAGGCAGAATATATTAATGAGAAGAACGTATATATAAATTAAAAGACATGTTTTTTTGCCTGTAACCCCCTCACACACATCCCTTCTTGTCTCTCTAAATGCTCTACCTTTGATGCATGGTGTAACTCTAGGCGATAAAAGAACAACATTTTGCTTTAAAAAGTTGAACTGAAAAATTGTTCCTATCAACTATAGTGATGATGAAAAATTAAGAACTTTTAAGGACCCTTATTTTTAAAAATAAAAATTAAGCAGTCTTTAAAGACTTTTAAGGACCTTGGAACTCTTAATTCCTGTATAGTGTTTTAAGATTTTAGTCTTGCATGGAAAGAGAAGTCACCCTAGAGTAGGGGCGCACAACCTTTTTGAGTGAAGGGCCACATGCACAGGAGATTGACCAATGAAGGGCCGCATGCCAAAGTATTTAGACAGATATATTGACAGCAATTGTAGGTAGTAATTGTTCTATAAACATCATTGTTCTAGGCACTAAATTATTTTTGTCAATTAACCTTTCATAAAATTAAATACTTTTAAATGTTTAAAATTAGAAACTTCAAAACTGGAAAAAAAAATCAGAATTTGAAAATCAGAATAAACTAAACGACAAAAAAATTTAGATAAATTAAAATTATTAAAAAACTATGGGAAAATGCATGTTTTTTTATAAGATTACACAAAAGTCCATTTAAACATACTAACATTAAAAAATTGGTTCATAGAATTAAATACAAATAAATAAAAATTCCAGTTATGAAAATAAATGCAAGTTAAATACTTCGATTTAAAGAAAATTTATAGGGTTAAAAGTGATTAAAATTAAAACAAAACCGCTTCAGCAGAAAATAATATTTAGTAGGGAATATACTTAAACTTTAAGACATTTTAAATGAATTATAGGGTGACCTGGGGTAATTCCTGATCAAAAAATGCAAACATCTATTTTGTGAAAAAACTATTTAAGATAGAATTTTAATATTTTCTGGAAGTTTGAGGCTATATGAGATGAGTCCTATGATACCTTCTTTTGTTTGAAAATCTAATTAGAATTTAAAGGATTTTAAATTTTTAGTGATCAGGTATTATCTTTATCACTCTTGATCAATTCTGGGGTAAATTCTGATCATTTCTGGGGTAATTACTGATCACCAGTTTTTATAGTAAATGGGCTGTTTAAAAATAACTATACAATGGTAATTAACAAATAGGACATTAAGATCAAAAAGTTATGTTTAAGCAGCTAATAAAACTGTTTATTTAAAATCAGGAACAAAGATTAACACTTCAGCTCTGGCAGCAGCTCTCACACTGAAATTTTCATTTTCAATCATTAAAAGAAATTCACGATTTTTGCTTTCTAGAAGCTTAGTATCCTTTTTAAGCTTATAATTTCTCACCATATTTATATTAGGTTAATTTATCAACTTAAAAATTATTCTAACAATGTACACACATAAAAATAAGATAGAAGAAAGGTAAGACAAGCTAGAAATGGTGCATATCAGAACACATTTGTCTTGTATACAGTTAAAAACNAGAAAATACGTGAAAATGGGCAGCAATAACTACCGGAAAGTCATTGAATTTACGATAAAATCGGAGCACTCGAAGAGAGTCAAAAGTAATAACTAAAATTAGAAATTCGTATATCGTAATAATGATGTGTTCAAAATAATGGTATTTTCAAAACTATGCCTAAATCTGTAGAGGTAACCATCGAAAAAAAGCGATCGAAAACTACATTGAATGAAATTGGGTGCGTCAAAAACTTAAATGCGTAAATTTCAAATTTCCGAATTTTTTTTTATTTAAAAAAAAATTTAATTATTTTTTTTCTCATTTTGTTCAGATTGCGGTAGCGGGCCGCACATTGAGGGTTGGCGGGCCGCATTTGGCCCGCGGGCCGCAGGTTGTGCACCCCTATGTTAGATTAAACAAAAAACTGTTATTAAGTAAATGTAGTTATACATTAGTAAAGTGTACAAGCATTCTTGTTCATGTCTCAAATTTAAAAAAAATATTATTTTAAATTGTAATAAATAGGAATTTATTGTTCATTAGTCAAGTGTCTATTTTTGAACCTGGGTAACTGTTACCAAAAATTCAGTTAAAAAATCACAGCCTTGCCAAAGTTTGAGGGGTAACGGTACAAAATAAAACTTAGGTGATCATTATTTACCCCAGAAACAGAGTAATCGTGAATTACCCTGGGTCACCCTAAGAGGGCTACCCCGGGTCACCCTAAGAGGGCTGAGAGAGGGAAGGAAAAGAAAGAAAGCACTAATTTCGAAAGAACTATTTTTCTAAATTAATACGCACATATATTAACAACTAATAACATTTACATTACTTTACGAAATTTATTTTGATCAAATTTCTTCACTGTAAAAATTTAATGATATACAAATCATTTCCTCACATATAATCATAAATTATATAAAATGATCCAAGTAGGTAGAAAATGGTTTAAAAAATTTCTTAATGGTTATCCTGTAATTTGCAAAATTTTTAAATACTGTGATAGCTTTATTCACTTGATCTTGTGATAGCTTTTTTGAGCCATTCAATTAAAATTTAATAAATTTGTTTAAATACAGATCTGTAATTTTGAATCAGCCTAACTCATTCTGGAAAACGGTCTTTCGACAGAGGTTGTTGTTGTGGGTAGTATTAAACTTAGGGCAAATAACTTAATCAGTTTTGGAATTCGTCCCAGATGGTGTTCTTCCTTTCCGGATTTTTAAATAGCGTTAATACAAATAGCGATGTTATTTTTTAATTGCTTGAATACGAATTGCTATGTGAGATTTTTAAATTGCGTAAATAAAAAAGGTGATGCGTGGTTTTCAAATAGCGTGAAAACAAATCGAAATGCGTGGTTTTTAAATTGTGAAAAGTTATATTAAATGTCAGAATACAAATCGCGATATGTAATTTTAAATCTGAATGCAAATTGAGATGGATGATTGCTAAATTTCGTTAATGTTAATACGAAATGCGATGCGCAATTTCAAGGTTGCGCAAATAGGAATTATGACTCATGAATTTTAAATTACGAGAAGAATTAAAACGTATAAAATCATACGTTTTAATTTTTCTCGTAATTTAAAATTCATGTACCGTAATTCGTATTTGCATATCACGTATCGTAATTCGTAAAATGCATAAGTACGAACCACGACATGTGATTTTTAAATCATGTGACAAAAAGAATAAGTAGGGTGTGTATACTGGGTGTCTTTATGGGACTTAAGAAATAACATGTGTTTTGAATTATTTTTTTGCAAAAGGGAAGCGTTTAATATAGATGTTCACATCTCTTTTTTTTAATTTCAATGTCTTAAGGAAGGTGTCGATTTTGCTAAGATACGTAATTACTTTTTAGGTTTAAAATTTTTTTAAAAACAGAATCGAATTTCACGAGTTGTGATATTGTGTTAAAATACCAGGATATTCTAAGTCACAAGTAAAAATAGAGCGATAACGGAAAAAAAACACGTTCGAAAAAACTCATATTTATGTTAAAATCGGCGCAAATAGAGGACGTAAAAAGTTATTTTAGGGCACGATTCAAAACTCGCGTGCGGTCAAATTATAGTATTTAAAATATCAGAATTTTTTTAATTTACGAGGGGAAAGTAGTAATAAATACCAAAAAAATTATCAAAATCTCCCTTTATATTTACAATAAAATTCGTGTAAATAAAGCGCATCAAAATTTTATATACATATTTAAATGCAAGACTCAAAATTAAAGTATCATAATAGCGTATATAAAATATTGGGACTTTCGAAACCTTTTAGAAAAGGGCAGCAATATTTGAAACAATAAAAAACAAATCGGTACAAATAAACCAGGTCAAAATTTTTTTTATCTAAATGAGCGATTCTTTACTCGCAATTCGTAATAATATCGTGCTATAATATTGATATTTTAAAAACCATGCAGAAATACGTAGCTATTACAGCCGAAAAATGGATCAAAAGCCATTTAGATTTTCCATGAAGTTTGCACAAATAAAACTTTTCATAACTTTCAAAATTTGCGATTTCAGAAACTACGTATAAATGGGTAGCAATAACTACCGAAAAGTCATTGGATTTATAATGAAATTTGCACACACGACGAGCGTCAAAAGTGATAACTAAAATTCGAAATTCGCATTTTGTAATAATGATGTATTGAAAATATTAGGATTTTCAAAACTATGCTTAAATCTGTAGAGTTAAGCATCGAAGAAAAAACGATCGAAAAACTACATAGATTGAAATCGGATGCGTCAAAAACTTAAAAGGTGGAAATTTCGAATTATTTTTTTTTAATTTTTCAAAAAGAAAATTTTTTTTTCTTCTCATTTTGTTGAACAAAATTTGTTCAGATTGCGTCCGTTGGCAGCACATCGAGGGTTAGTGGGCCGCTGGTTGTGCACCCCTACCCTTGAGTCAGGGTATCCACGATTACCTATAGCTAAAATTTGAGAAAAATGGAGTGTTAGAAATTTTTGCTTCACTCACATTATACATTGCTAACCAGGGTTTTCTTTTTCCTTAAAAAAAAAAATGGGCTTATGGGTGGGTCAAAAACCCTTAGCTGCCAACATGGATGGGGAAAAATCCAGTATATTTTGAGAAACAATAAACATTTTATGATATCTATTGCGTAATATACTAAATATATTATAGTCATCAAAATAAAGAAACTTTAATACACAAATAACTTTAAATGGTCTGCAATATTTTCCATTTATTGACATTAAATAAATTTTGATTTTTTTTTTATTATGTCAACTCTTATTTTAAATAGTAGTACACAAGTAATTCATTATTGACAGTTAAAAACTTAACTCAAAAAGGGAGTTCTGAATAAAAATAAGCTGAAAATTTTAGAACAAAGGAAAAAAAAAAGCCCTTAAATGATAACTATACGGCTCGCTTCTTTATGTATTAGTAATTTTTACTTAAATAGCAAGTAATAAATTTTTATTATTGGCGATCGAAATGGGCTGCAGGTGGCGTACAGCAGAACTCTCTACCTATGGTAACACTTCGCGTGCTTTCCCCATTAACGTGTGGAGAGTCATAGAGGAAGGAAATACGTTAGTTTCTCTCTTGATTTTCATATAGATTAGAATCTTTTTAAGTTGGAAAACTACATGGAACTGAAAACTACATTAAACATAGTTCTAAAGAAAAGTATCACGGAAATTTTAAAAAATATATTTATTAAATAAAAAGTCAAAATTAAAAGAAAAGTGAAAATCGTAGTACATTCCTATACAACTGAAAAGAGGAGGAGAGGGAAGGGATAAAGGTCAAAGGCATGAAACCGGTCTCTCCCCAGATGGCAGATTCGAGAGTTGCGATTGCTAATATCAGTTGTCCAGGTGAAGCTGACAAAATCCAGAAGTCAGCTGGTAACATTTTAACCCTTAACACACTGCATTCAGACTAGTAGACAGCAGCAATTGTTTGACTATAGCTTACATACATAAATATTGTGCAAAATTTGAGAGAAAAGACTTTAAACATAAAAATGTGAACTGCATTAAATTACCTGTTTAATAAGTCGCTTGTTCTACCCACTGCACCATCTTCATAAGAACTCGCAGATTCATAGGAACTTGAAGAATCATCAGTACTTGTGGCAGGTCTTCGAAATTCATACAAATTGCTATCGCTTGAATCATCTTCGAGTGCAGTCGGCGGAAGCCATTCAGGATCAGATTCTAAATTATATTGTTCTAGCAATGACCGGGTTCTTTCAAATACAATACTTCCATTTGGAGCCGTAGGGCTGGCGACATCATTCATAGGCATAGATCGTCGGTCGGCACATCGAGACTTTAGCTTCGGTCGTAATTTAAACCTGCTGCTTTGATTAGAAGGAGAGCTGTCATTGTTTGAGGTGCTGGAATCTGTAATGTTAGATGATCTGTAACTTGGTCCAGCAACAGGCTCTATATTATTACCTGAAGTGGAATCAACCTTATTTAGATGTTGGAAAGTCCTTTTACGTGAAGGTTGGGGAGCTGCTTCTAATTGTTCCTCTTCATCTGTTGAATCTAAAATTTGAGTCAAGAGTCTTCGCTTCGCAGGCCTGACGATACTTTCGGGCTCTTCTTCAACAAAAACCTCAGCGGGCTCAGCAGCCAAAACACTCGAATCCTCGAGAGATGCTGGACTTGAAGCACGAGGATATTCGATGCTTGAATTATTATCTTCCGCTTGTTCATTGGCTGCAGATCTTATTTGTCCAAAATGGTCATTAATACGTTCCTGCAACTGCTCCAATTCAAACATCATACTTTCTCTTGTTGGACGAGGACTCGACCAATTTGCTTCTGACTCATCAGATTGTTGGTTTGTTGAATCATCCGAAGAAATTGAACTAAATTCTGACAGATTTGAATTCTCTGTGAAATTAAAAAGTATTTCAGTAGGGGAAATGCTTACAATTGAAGAATCTGAAGTAAAATCTTCACTTTCTCTGATGCTTTTTAATTCTTCTTTTAATTTTTTTAATTTCTCCCGATACTCTTTTAATTTTTCATCTTTTCCTGAAAAAAAAAAGGCTTAGATTAAAACATTGTAACAAATAAAACATTACGAAGCTAAGAAAGAGTTAGTAAACACCTTAAAACCACAGAATAAAAATGAACAAAGCATTAATAAAATTTTTTGAGCGAAATAATATTGTTGACAAAAAAGCAACTTAATAAATGTTGTAACAAGGTGATCAAATTACTTTATACAACCATACGAAATCTACATTTCAAATCAATAGCTGTAAAACATAATTATAATATATTCAAAAACATGTATTTATTACTATGAATTTTACGAAGCAAAAGGGCTAATTTTGTTTTTTTTTGACATTGTTTTAAAAGAATTGCACTAAAAAATTGACTAAGAAAATTTAAATAATTTTAACTATTAAAAGATTATAACTGCCAAACTGTACAGAAAAAACTTCTTAGCATTTCCAGAAGTTACATATTAAGGCATTTAAGTTAGTTATGAATTATAAACATATTGAAGTATTCAGGGTTGGGTTTTGGACAGGATATGTGGGTTTTATTGTCTTAAACTAGATAAAACTGTCTTAAAGTGTCCAAAACCTTGAACTTTGGTAAAAGGTAAAAATTCTATAGGTATATCCCTTGTACACATAATAATTACATGTATCAATAAATATTCGATATTTTTTACGCATTTTACTTTAAGGAAAATAATATAATATATTAGGAAAAGGTTTATAATTTTTGAAGCTCCACAATTCAGTGAACAACAAAAGTGAATACCTAATCCTTTAGATATAAATATGCTTTTAATACTAATAAATCATGTTTTTGTATAAGGATAAATAATGCAATATTAAAAAATAATAATTTAAAAAAAAAATATTAAATTTGTTTAAAAATTATCCTTTTATTTTTCACAATATTTTTTTAAAATTTTTTTTATAATTTCTGCATCACAGGATAAAAAAGACATTATTTTAAAAAAAATTGTTTTTCAACATAAATATATTAGTTTAAATTGAAAATACAAAATAACTGAAAAATGTATTAACAGTTTTGAAGGGCATAACAACAGTTTAAGTTACTGACACTGGTGATGTATCACCACTAGGCTAAAAGAATCGAACATGAATGAAATAAAAGTATTCTTGAATAGTAGTACTATAGATAAATAAACTTGTTTATGACTAGCCAGTCCCTAATAGCTTAACCTGTATGGCAAGGTCAAACTTCAGTTATGTACTATTGACTGAGAGGACCAATTGAACTTGATTACTGATTAGATTAATTTTCTTTTGTTTAATGTTTAAATTGAAGAGTCAAATATTAATAAAACATTATACCTTTAAAAACAAATATTCTCTAGTAGATTTATTTATCAGTATGTTATTAGTTCTATGTTTATTTTACCTTTTAAATATTGATAAAATTGTGACATAATTTGAGTAAAAGGGTTTTGGACAGTCTAAGACAGTTTTGGACACTGATTAATCCATTGTCCTAAACCTTGCCAACCCTGGAAGTATTGTATGTACATTTCATATTACACATAAAAAAATTACATCGAATAAAATTTAAAAAATCTACAACCTTAAGATTAAGTTATAATCTTTCAAAGAAGTAAAAAATGTTCGCCAAAATATGATAAAATGTTGCTAGCTGCTAAATTACGCGATATGATACAGTTCATTACTTCCGAATTATTTTAATACCCAAGTTTGAAAAAGTGTCCCAGGCAATATTTGCCTGTTGTTTGAAAATCGTTCTCTATCTGTGCCCTAATTTATATTTCAAATATGCCAAAAACAATTAAAATTTTCTTGCTATTTTCAACGATATTATTTTGAGTTAAACAAAATATGCTACAGCCTAAGTGAAACCTTATTTAGATAACATTAACTACTTAAATTAATATGAAAAAATTATTTTAAGCACTTTTAAATACAATTAAAACATAGGGTCAGGTAGGTATAAAATCAACCTTTTTCTAAAGAAGTCCCTAAAATTATTGAATTAATTTTAATGACAATTTTGACGAATTTTATATATGATCTATATATATGCATTGGATGTGTAAAAATGAATGATAACTCAATTTTATTATATTGTTTTATTACAGTAATGAATTCAAAGGAGCATGTTTTGACGTACCCACTTTAAAGTGGGTATAGTTCTAAAATCTATATTATATAAAACGCTAATACGTACGTATGTAACAATAAAGCCGATGATATTTATTTTCTCGCATTGGCAACAGTTTCATTTTTAATTGAAAGGCTTCGGCGCGCAAGAGCATGTAGTGAGCATCATACGGCTAATCTATATTATATAAAACGCTAATATGTTTTAATTGATAGGCTTCGGCGCGCAAGAGCATGTAGTGAGCATCATATGGCTAATCGGGTGAATTCTCACCGAATTATCAAAATAATTCTCACAAAATTATCTTCACCAAAGCCGATGCTTTACATCCGGCGTTCAGTACTATTTCATATTGTTTTACAACACATGGTTTTAGCCCTCTGGTGGGAAAGACTTTAAAACAAAACTTACAACAGTTACTTTTCTCAACAACTGAAATTTAGAATAGTGTGATTAAGAAAAATATGTGAACTGTTTGCAATTTCAAATTAATATTGAAATG